GCCCTTCCTTCCAGGCGTAATAAAGGCAGAAGATATATTGTCTTTACCAGCTGTAAATTTTTCTTAACAGTCCACCTCTAATTCTTTTGTGAGCACTTGATGTTCCTTCACTAGCCCTTTGAGATACTCCCAGTACAGGATATGGTTGCAACACTATTGTGTAAGAAAGAACTCCAAAGTTAGCAATAGAAAGAGGAAGATATAAGCATATAATCTGGATTTCTGCATTCAAATCACACTCTCTCAGATGTTTGACAGAAGCACTACTGTCACTCGTAGACATGGACAGAAACAGCATTTCCACAGCTTAGCTGTAATGTTATTTAGATCCATTTTAATTGGAATTTCATCTGGGATATAGCACTGAAACTGCTTGGGTGTCAGTCCTACAAAGTAGACCAGACTAAGAAACCAATGGCATATAGGTCAGGACTACTTTTATTGTAATAGCTATAGTAACAGAATCTTGCAAGTCTGAATGTGCTTCCCCCTACCTTATCTTTGTGTGAACTAGGGAGGGGCTTGTCTGAGATGTTTTCTCAAGTTATTTTCTTGGCCTGGGTTGAAGTCCAGCTTATCTGACTGTTGCCTTGGTAGCAACTCTTCCTCCTGCCTTTCAAGGTCATTCCCTATTTCCTCTACATTGGATCACCTTGATGGGTGACTTATGTTCCTGGACACTAGATGGGGAGAGTATGACCTTGGTAATTCTCTTGGACCTCTTGATGTCTTTCAGTACCATTAGTCATGGTATCCTTTTGGGCTCTCTGGAGGCTTTAGGTCTTTATTGTCATCATTTTGCAGTGGATCTAGTCCTTCCTGTTGGGATATGCCCAGAAAATACCGTCCCACACAATTCTACTATCCTCTATGCCAATGAATACCTACATGGAAGTGCTGACTGAGGAAATTCAGAGCTTTTGGAGTAAAATATCTTCTCCCTATCTTCTAACCCCAAGGAAGTAGTCAGTATCTTTGAACATTGTCTAATCTTGATGGGCTAGATGAGGAAGACAAGCTGAAATTAAATCCAGACAAGTTGAAGGTACAGTTGGTAAAGAGAAAAACAGATTCAGGGATTGAAGTGAACCCTTGTTTTCAGTGGAGTTGTTGTGGTTAATGGATTTTTTGAAAAGCAGTTTAGTGGTGGCTGGCTTGTCCTTGGATAAATACAACAACCCAGTAGCAGAATCCAGTTATTTGCCCAGGAAAGGAAGCTCAGTGACAGAACCCTCTGTTTTTTCTTCATCCCCATAATCATTTATTAAATTTATATGCCACCCAACTCCCAGCAACTCTTGTGCTTATGAGGCCCTTAGTTCCCCAGTTAGGCCTTGGAAGGTCTATACCTGAACCACATGATCTAGTAAAAAAGATTGCATCCTAGAAGAAAATAACCCAAATAGCATGTGATGAAATGGAAGCCACATCCTATCTATTATTGCTCATTCTAAAAATGTGCTATTCCATGTGCCACTTCCATTGCCATTGTCTCATCTATGCACATGGCCACTGAATTCAAACCCAGGCAGCTGAAATCCTCCTAGCCAATTGGTAGGGGCTAGAATGTCTTACTTGGCCACAAGGACCCCAGTGGAAGCATTACCTTAACTTTATCCCTCCATAGAAAGCTATTGCCTGAGACTTTTTAGTACAAGAATAAGAGAGGTAATGGATCAGCCAGACTGCCTTAGAAGATTTGCAGGAAGGGGGATTAACCCTATGTGGCAAACTCTGAGACTGATCAGGGACAGGACCAGAAATGGACTTGCCACTCTCCCTACAGGATACTTTCCCCTGATTTTCTTATAAAGATGTCCAGCATCTCTATGGCCAGTTTCAGGTTAGCTGTGCCCTTAGGCTCCCATGTTCCTTGAGAGAATGATGCAGAAACCATTTATGCCTCTCCCCGACTCCCTGCCATACACATGCACACATGTTGATACCAGACTGTGGTCTAGTCAGAATATCATCTGAGGAACGATCTGGGGCTGTAGGCACACAAGAGCTGGAGAGAAAATGTCTCAAGCTGCAGATACTACTATACTATTTCTTATCCTCTGCAACTGCATCACACAGATTCTCCTACAATGAAATGAAGCAGAGCGGGCAAACTGGACAGCACTACTTGCACCAGCACAAGTTGCAAAACCTTATTCTCAAAGCATAGCAGGAAATGACAAGTGGAAGTTGCTTTCCCAGTGGGCTTGGGTAGGGAGAGGCTAACACCAACAGTTCCTGTTCTTGAGAAACCCTTAGTGGCCCATGCTCATGTTGCAATAAGCTACTTGTGCAGATCAGCACTCCCTCCCCTTCAAGCTGAGCCTGGGGACTCCAGGGTTACTTCCATGCAATTTTATTGGTAACAATCCAGTAGTGATCTCCCACTCTTTTCTTCCAGACTGTTTTTCTCCCTTCCCAGTATACCCTGCAACCCTGGTATTCCCCAGAGTCTCCCATCCTAGTATTAATCCGGCCCACTTTGATTAGCTACCAAGACGAAGCCAGCCATGCCACCGGTGATTCTTAAAGGACTGTTCCAGCTCAAGCCTCCTCCCCTTCCAGCCCCTTCCTCCTTTCCAGTCCCCCCTGATTTCCATCTCTGACTTGTATTTAGTCAAAACGTGCTCATTCAGGATGTATTCCCACAGTTTGCAAGGCAGAAAATGCCTGCTGTGCCTTCATCACACCTGTCTGTGGAGTCAAGGGCTTCAGAGCCTGACTGGCGCTGGCCCATTTCCACACTCCCTGAAGGCCCTCTTGCTAGTGTGTGTCCTCAGATGTCTTCTCAGTGCCCACTACAATATCCTTGGGACAAGTGAGCAAGCAATCCAGCATCACTGTTCATGGGGCTATCCTCCCCACAGTCAGATTCACCAGTTACCCATCTGACCTTCCTTTGCTTTTTGAGTTGTTGCTCCTCCTGAGCTTCTTCAGCTACAATCTCTCCATATGCTGCTTTCCTTTGCTCTTTGTGCTTCTTTTTGCTCTTCTCCATCATGTAGATTCTCTACATTCACCAGAACTGGATGTACTGTATGAAACTGAGACTTGCCTTCTGTATAATAGTGTAATCCACCTCTCCCTGCTTGTGATTCACCTGTCTGCTTCTCTGGTCCTTCGATGCCCTGTTGTGATGAAGGCCTCCAACTTCTTGCTTGTTTTCTCCAGTTTGTGATATAGCTACAGAAAGACCACTGTTTCCTCTGTGGTGTTTTGCAACTGCTGATCGTGCTGCTGACTTTTTCCTGCCATATGTCTGCCACAGCCCATTCCTTCCTTTGATGACCATCCTCTCCCATCTTTAGTGGAACAAGGCTTTCATCTTTGTCCTTCCTGGAAAGCATTTGGTCAACTTTCTGGTTTTAGAAGCAAGACTCTGTACATGTCTGTGACTGGTCGCTCTCAACCAGCTTTTCTGTCAGTTGTCAGTTGGCTCACTGGATAACCAAAGTGCTGTTTTACATCAGAATTGCAGTTTTTTCTTTTGTTGTTGTTGTTGCTGCATTTCTATCCTGCCTATTTCTTAGAGCTCAAGGAGGTCTCCATGGGGATTTCCATACATATATACGTACATCTGTATACATGTGTGTGCAAAATCCAAAGAACTATTTTTATTTTTACCACGGTAAAAGAATATAAAGACTGCACACTCTTTAAAAGCTCCTGTCTTCTTCTTTTAAATATGTTTAATTAAGGTAACCCTAATATGGTTTATGAATAGAGAACTGCTATCTTTTGCATCCTTTACTGAATAGCTCAATTGTTTTTTTAAAAGACTGTACAATGTTTTCATGTGATCACAGCATAGATTTTTATAAGACATAATGTCACTGGTAGTGTTATTTTCTATTTCTTTTTAAATGCTCCCCAGCATGGAATTGACCTCAGCAACTGCACTCTTGTTATTTTCACTGAGCTAGCTACAGCAACCTTTCCTGGTCAATAATGCAGGCATATTAATAATTAGGAGTATTGCCCTGCATAGATGACTTGAAAGGTAAGGGAAAAATCTCCTTTGACTTCTGCTGACTTCACAGCCACAACTGCATAATTTTGCCATTTCCTCTTCTGAGATATTTTTTAAATCAACTTCTTAGTCTAGTTTGCAGCCCGGTGGTCCCAATCCAACAGTTAACTAGGCTTGACTCTGTTTAGCTTTAGGAGATCAGCCAGGCTTGGCTTGGTGCAACATTTTACACTTGCTTAAATATACCACATTTGCTATTTTCATGCCCATTGTCAATCCTCCTCCCTGGTAGCATTCAGGAAGTTATTAAAAACAGAGCATTACCCTGTGCCTCTTGTTCTTATCATTTTTCTCTTCTACTTTGGTTTTGTGAACTGGATTGTGTATTGTTTTAATTCATGGAGAAAATCTATCTGGTTGCTAGGAGTCGAAAATGACTTGATGGCACATAATCAATGGTTTTAAATTTTGTTTTTATTGTAACACTGCAAATGATCACAGTCACAAGATTACACGAATAAAAATTGAATACATAAGTAAAATAAGTAAACAAATACATCAGGAGAAAGACCTTTTGAAGCCGTCTGCAGTCCATTTTTGTCTTTGGTCACTCACCTCCACACTCCCCACTTAATTATTTACGAACAAATTAAAAAGCAAATCCTTTTAAAATTCTCTGATATTTCATTGACCTTAAGCAACATAAAACCTGCATCTGAATTAAGAGCAGAAATATTCTTTTCTCCATTTTTCCTCCATAACCACCACCCTGAGAGGTAGGTTGGGGGGTGTGGGGGGGTGTGAGTGAGTGAGAGAGAGAGAGAGGTAGAAAGTTACCCTCACTAAAACATCACATTAGCTCTGCCCACCCCCGCCTCCCAAGGGACTCTCAGGAACAGCCTCCCGGCTCATTATAATCCTCCGATCTGAGATTCCCTCCCAGTCAGCTCCCTTCTCCAAGCGCGGCTACGTCACCCAAGCAGAACAACACGGCCCCGCCCTCTTCCTCTGCGCAGGCGCCCCGCGGCTACGTGAAGCGTGCGACTCCGCGGAGAAAGCTGCGGAGAGCGGGCGTGCGCCGGAGCAGGTTGGTTGGGCGTCGTTTGGGTTATCTTCTCTTTGGAACGATGTACCGTAGTTTCCCTTTGCACCAGGAAAAGGCCTTCCGGAAAGGGCTGTTGGAGTCAACTGCTCCGTTGATGTCCCATTTCCCCTCTTTGAAAGCGCTGAGAAAAGGTGGACTGGCGCTGGTAGAGCGCCTCTTGCTGGAGAGTGCTTGGTAATTGCCTGCCGTAAGGGACTCGTGTGAATGCGGCGTTAGGAGTCATAGTATATAAAACGAATATATAAACACCCATCCCAAATCGATACTGGAACTGAGTAACTGGTCTGTATAGAGAGAGCTGTATCGCATGCTGTGATGCTGCATCTGGTTTTAGTTATGATTTCTTTTCGACCAGTCTCAGGTTTTCGAGCATTATGGCTGCTTCCGTACCTGGAACGGCTGGTCCGAAAAGCTGGAAGAGAAGCTGTTACCACTCACACGGATGCAGTGTTGAGCACCTGCGAACCTGGCGGAGAGAGCGAGAAGCAGGTAGCGATGTGTGTTTCTAATTCCTTCATTTAGTTTTGGACTGAGGCAATTCATTATTTTTTATTCCACTTAATGTATGCCATCATTTTTGCATGATTCCATCCAAAACTTTAACATAGATAAAAATAAAAATTTTATTTCAGTTGTCAAACTTATTAAATCTCTCAGATATTCTCTAGAGATTCCTATTCTTTGATTCAGCCATAAAAACAGTACTTACAATTAGTTGCCTTCTGTAAGTTTTCATCATACTTTCCCTTGCCAGTTGTACTTTTATAAAATTGAACAGCTATGCAATATTGCAATAACACTAAAGGGCTTTTTTCACTCTACCTTTTATACAGGGACACTTTGATAATTTTACACTGTTTCATTACAGCTCTGAGAAGTGCACGGAGGCTACAACAGTTGTTCAGTAAGCGGCATTTATGTGAAGACACGTCATCAGATGGAGAAGTTGCAATGGACAGTGAGACAACAGCTCTTTTATCCGAGGAAGAGGTAGAATATACTTCACTAAATGGATTGAAATTCACTGCAGTGTATTCAGTTCCACAGTCTTTGGGTTTATTTAGAGAAAATAAACATTTTTTCTAAAAGGTTTGCTTATGAACTAGATTGGTTTGAAACGTGTAAATCAAGACGATTCAAATAATTAAATTGGTAGCTAAAGAGACAACTTAAGAAAGCTGAGTAAAATCAACATTATCATTTATACTGCTTTATATATTACTTTAAAACAGTCTGAGTTTTAATTGTATTATTTTACAGACTGAAAATGATAGACCTTCTTCAGGGTGATCTGTCCTCAACCTGGTTCTTCAGGTCTTCTAGTGGTGTACCCATCACTGCTGTAATCAAGTCCATCCACCTTGCTGCTAGTCATCTTTCTCTTTCTTTTCACCTTTCCCAGCATTATAGATTCCTCCAGAGAAGTAGCCCTTTACATAATGTATCCAGACTATTATCATTTGAGCTGGCTACTTATGCCTTGAATGGGAACTCTGGATTGATTTGTCCTGTGATCCATTTGTTTTCTTGACAATCCATGGTACTCTCAACAGTCTTCTCCAACACCAAAGTTCGGAAGTGTCAAAACTCTTTTTATTCTGCTTCTTAAAAGTACAGCTTTTTTTTCTATAGAGCTTCAGAGGGAAAACATTGCCTACATGATCCTGACCTTTATACATATAGACACACCCCAGGATTTAAATATATTTTCCAAGGTTTTTATTGCTACAGTACTCTATCAAGTGTTAGAAGGCAGTGTATTTCTTGATTGTAGCTGTCTTTACTATTGATAGTCAATCTTAAAAAGCAGACTATCTAACACTTCAATATCTTAATTGTCACTTCTGAAATTCTGGTTGCTGTACCTGTTGTTATTAGTTTCCTTAATTTTAGTCCCATTTTTTCACTGTGCTCTTTGGCTTTTATTATGACAGCTTGCAAATAATTTGCATTTTCTTGGAGTAGTGTCATCAGCATAATATTGATGTTTCTTCCTCCGGTTTTAAAACCATACTCATCTTCTTCCATTACAGCTTCCCTCAATATATATTCTGCATATAGAAGAGTATACAGTATATTTGTTCTTACTGCTTACTCTTACATGTATACTCCTTACTCACATACTTTGTTTTTATTCCATTGCTGACCTGAAGCCAGCCTGTTTTGCCCTGTTCCATCCAGACTGTGGCTACTTGTCCTGTGTATAGGCTTTTCATGAGGACAGTGAGATGTTCTAGGATTCACATTTTCTTAAGGGCATTCCACAGCTTGACATGGTTGACAAAGTCAAACCCTTTCTATAATCAACGAAGCGTACATTGATTTCTTTTTAGTATTTGGCTTTCTCAGTTATCCAGTGTGTATCAATAATTGTCTTTTGTTTCTTGGGCTTTTCTAAAGCCAGGTTGAACATCTGACATCTCCCTTTCCATCTAGGGCTCTATTCTGTGTTGAGTGATCTTAAGATGTTGGATGATCTTAAGATAGTTCATTCTTAGAGGATAGAGGTAATAAAATTCCATTATCCTAGAGATTATATCCCTATAAGGCAGGCGTTCTGGGGCAAACATGGCATTTTACCCTGCACATTTTTTGCTGATTTAATTTCCTATGTTACACAGTCAGATTTTGTACTGATTACTAACTTGCTGACAGGGACCAGACAGTAACTTCAGATGCAATTTGTTTTCTTATTTGCAATTAGAACCTGCAGTTGTGTTCTAGCTACATGGGCATGTATTGCTAATATATTGTCTGGGATATAATAGTTGACATTTGCTAAGTTTATTAATGTTATTAAACTTTTATTGTTTGTAACACTATTTCTGTTCTGGTCTAAAACTGTAATAAAATTGTTGTTTTATACTGGAAATAAAACTAGGATTGATGACTGGAGGGAGGGCTGCTTGTGAGATAAATGTTCCAGTAAAACAAATAGGCCTTTTCTATACATGAGAACCATCAGACCTCTAGTTGTATATCAGTTAGCTTTGGGTTGGCAATTAGCAAACTTCTGAGATGCTGTCTGCTCCCACAGATTGAACAGGAATGGCTTGGGTTAAGTCACACTTGAGACAAGCTTAGCTCCTGGTAACTGCATAGGCTTAGCTATGTAGCTTTCTTGGCAACTCTGTGGAAATGTTTTATCACTGCTCTCTGGGATTTTTTTTTTCTTTTTAACTCCCAATCTACTTGCAGCCCTGCAGATTGCTTGCAGTCTCCCCTGCAAGTGGCTTTGAGTGGCTTTGGAGACCACTCAAGATTAAGGAAGTGCTCTGCTCTTGCTAGAGCCACAAGTTCTATTCCAGGCTGGCAGGAGCTGTAAACAGGAGCACTACTCTGGGCGGGGATTAGGGAAGAATGGAGCAGACAAAGGCCTGTA